ATTCACAACATTAACTGCCATTTGGTTAAATGTTCCCCCTTGCTTCGCAATTAACAACCTTTTGTCTGAAAACGCACTTGTTATTTCATGACTGTTAAAAATTCATTTATTATTTATTGTTCCGGGAGTTAAAGTTTTGCCTCAGGGAAGGGTCTTGCGTTTTCGGCAAACTGACGTGTTTGTCTCAAAGTTGTCGTGTCAGTCTCGATCATTGAAGCCGTCTTTTATCTTAATAATCTTGGTTGTCAATCGCTGTTTCTTCCGGCAAAACTATGCCATGGATACCTTTTATCTGACGATTTCTTGCCGATTTAAGACAGGCACGAGGTCTCTTTGTTCGTTCTTCCGTTTATCTATCAACAGGTTTGTACCCTCTGCATCTGAAAAACAAATTTCCATTCGGATGTTTTTCGAGTACCGGTAAACGACACAAACAAAGCAAAATATACCAACCAAAACAGACGAGCAAAAATGAAAAACGACAACATCCTAAATTTCATTCAGGGGAAGAATTGTTGATACAGTTTAATAATTTGCCTGATATTTCAATTCTGGCAGCATCTTTTATCATTTTGGCTGTGGACTCGTATATTTAAGGAGCCCTCTCACGGTCTCGTTAAGTCCTGTTTCTTATAAACTCTGAATGTGCCAGGTCAATAGGCTTAAAACGATTCGAATATAGCATTTTAATCTGTTTTATTTCTGATGAATTATATTATAAAACGGCACATTTTTGTTAAAAAACAATCTCTCTCCATACATCGAGTTGACTTTCATTCAATCGCCGTGGTGCATCATGCTGATTTATTGTCTTTGTTGAATCTTGTTTTTGACATTGAGACGGAAAGGGTTGTTCTTGACGGTTTGGCTTAACTTGTCAATGTCTTCACCATGGCGTTAGTGCGGTGGTAGGCGCGTGCGAGTTGCAACTGAGTATACCAGACGAGTATTAAGAGATATTAGAACTTTTCGGGTTTTGCTCTTTATAGTTACATTCTCACAATAACTTTCGGGTTACACTCTCTGAGGTGCAACGAGGCCCAAAGCGATTGTGCGATTCGAGCTTGATATCGACCAAATTTCACGTGACGTCAGGAGACGATAGCCAATTGTGGGGCGTTGTCCAGATCAACACCGGAGCTGTTATAGTGTAATTCGACCACCAGAATTAGAAGCCATTACTGCGGTGGCGCAACGCTCGTGCACAGGTGGTACGTGCGCGTTACGTGCCTCTTCGACCAACAGGGTGTTGTGATTTGCCAAATGCACGCGCGCGTCAAGCTGAATAATGTGCGTGTTAGTGCGGTGCCACCGCAGTTTTGGCGTCTAATCGGATTAGTCTATCCGCTCCGAGCGGAACAAAAGAGGGCGTGTTTTTTTTGTGTGTTTTTTTTGTACTTACCGCATAGGCGCGCCATGAGGCGTGCAAGTATATGCGCATTGAGCAC